ATCATTATATTCGGTATAGTAATAAGTATAAAAATATTACTATGACTTCAATTTTTCAAAATCTTGGGAGTTCAATAACACATCTTTATCTTTTTATTGATAAACAAAATAAAAAGATGAAAATAAATCTTGAAGAAATTTCTCATTATCTTACTTATCTTACACTTCATTTTTTTGAAGGTAAGAAAACAACAAAATACTTAAGCCCCTTCATCCCCACCCTAAAATCGATCTCAGCCGAGGAATATCGAAATGATAGGAAATTTTCAGCCCGATACCGTGATGTTTGGCGAAAATATCAGCCAAACAACGATCAAAAGTAGCGAATTTGGTTTCCCAAAATTCTCAGTCCATTTCCATGTCATATATTTAATTTTTTTTTGTTTGAAAGAGCATATCAGGATGTAGAAAAGTACAGAGCCTCTTTTTCTGAACACTTCCTTCTTTAGAGATTGAAAGTTTAATAACTCAAAAAGCGGATGTCGAGTTATATAAATGTCTGTATATATAATTTAAAAAAATACCCTCTGTACTGCGCTTCGTTTTGACACACTCTTTCAAACATAGGTCACAGGCAAAATTAAACTTAGTCAAAATTGATTTTTTTATTAGGCCCAGTGAAAAATTTTCGTGACTTTCAATTAGATTTTTCTGCAACAAAATCAAAATTAAAATCGATTGATAATTTTGATTATTTTCTGATTGAAATTATTAATCGACTGATAATCTTGAATTTACTACAAAATCATTCGATTTTAATCAGAAAACTCCACACTGAATAAGTAACAATACCAAGTAATAGTTAAACCGTAACCGATAATAATCAAAGTTATCAATCGATTTTAATTTTGATTTTGTTGTAGAAAAATCTGATTCAAAATTATTTTCTTGGATTGTCTGCTGACTATCCTTTTATCAAGAGAAATAAAATAGAATTTATGATTGATGAAGCTATTCTTATGAAAAGAAGAATTAGTATTTACCAATTATTTTAATCATCTTTCACTATAAAAATCTACTTATGAATTTTATATTTCATAATTATTTTTTCTAAAATGAGAAATGAAATGAAACTGATGATCTATAAGGCTAGTTCTGAGAAGGAAGATTAACATTTAACTATTTATTTTGTTATCTCTAATAAAAAGCCTATTCTTGAATCTTATGTTTCATGATTATTTTTTATAATGTGCAATAAAATTAAACTGATAGTTTGTGAAGCTATTATTGAGAAAGAAAATAAATACTTAGTTATTATTTTTGTTATCTTAAAAAACAATTATTCTCAAATGTTATATTTGATGATTATCTTCTTTTTTTTTATTCTGATAAATAAGTATAGCTGATGACATGTGAAACAATATCTAGGAAATAAAAAATATAATATTTAACTATTATTTCTAATATCTTTAATAAAAACGTATTTTCAAATCTTATGCTGAATAATTAGATCGATTTATTTTGTTTTGTTTTCTTTTTTTCCTTCGTTTTTGGTCGGACATGAGCAGAAGATTATTGTGATGGTAAACAAAACTAAAAGAACCAATATTTTATATTAATTTGATTTAGTTAATATCATTCGGTATCAATATTTCGATGATTACATCTTTTGTTTTTACAATACGGGTGAAATTCAGGCGATGATGTGTAATGATATCTCTATGATAAGAACGATTGACATGTAATTTTTATTGTTATTATGTTTCCAAAAAAAAGCTATTCTCAGTTTAGAATATATCAAAATGCTTAGATGTTTTTACTCATCGTCTTCTCCTTTTCACTCATGCACAAGGCACTAAATTATGTTAATGGTAACGAAATTTAAGAAGCGAATATTATATATTAAATTGATTAAATTCATGTACTATTCCATCAGCTGTTTGATAATTTTTGTTTTGTTTTTATAATGACAATGAAATATAACTTTTCATCTAGCACAGTAAAAATAAAAGCAAAAAATCGATATCTGCCTCTTATCATCACTAACTTTAATAAAAAAATCAAGTAGTTTGAAATGATATGATTAGGGGTGTGGGTGTGGATGTGGCTCTGATTGGAAAAAGAGACTCACACTCACATCCGATACCATCACCCTCAGCCGCACACCCACCCACACGTCCTCAACATAGCCACACCCACACCCCAATTGAAACTCTGAAATCAAATTATTCTTCTGAGAATGAGGAATATAATAGAAAATCCACATTCATGGAACGTGAAAAGCGGTAATGGGCAGTTTAATCTCTTTAGAATGTTTTGCTTTATATATCAGTTGTGAAGTACATCGAAGATAGTCCTTTATCCGAGATTTTGCTGTTGTGTTTTTTAATGCTAAGAATTTTAAGAGATTGAATAATCACATCGATTTGAAATCGAATAAAAGAAAACGTTTTCTTTGTTATTATCCGAATTTGAATAGTTACTATCAACAGGCGTTCTTGATTTTCGCGGTTCGGTCCGATTAAATAAGTTTTTTTTTTCTGTTTCATTAATAACTCTTTTAGTTCTCGTCTGATCAGGCGAAACGTTTCTTTTTAAAGGAATCATCGTTCAATTTCTGTAAACAGGAGGAAGTTATATAATAAGAAATACAATGGTCTAAATGTTTTGAAATGCTATGTTCACACATAATGAAGAAATTTCTGAAAAAACGCTGGTTTTGATTAGTTGACGAAAACTGTGGAAATTCGGGCAAAACTTGTTTGTTTTTAATTTTGAAGCTTGTAACCTCAAATACGTAATGATGATACTCCTGAAGTCGTAGCATATCTTATGTTGCCCTTATTCTGACCAGAACAGGAAGTATCGCGATATTCCGAAAGCTTGAAAAAAGTTTGATTCCTCTCCCCCCATGAGTTTTTTCCCTTCTGTATCAGAAAGCGCACATTTTAGAATGCTACAAAATCATCAAAATGAGACTTTAGATGAAATTATAGTGGTCAAACATGCCTAAGTCAGTTTAGTCAGGTCACCTTTGAAAGTTGACGCTTTTAAACATCTGTATTTTTTCTTTTATAACTTCATTATGTTATGCTTTAGAAAAATAGTTTACCTATCACTATTTAGAGAATCGAACGACAATTCTTTAAAAAAAAAAGATTAGCCCAATTGAACAGAAACTGAAAGAGCTTTCGAGCAGAGAAAAACTACTTATCTAATCTGACCCACCCGTTATTATAGTATCAACATTTTCTGTGTAGAATTGAAATAAAAATAAGTCGTTTTAATGAATATTCCAAAAATATTTATCAAGAGTGTCCTGAAATGTTCTCACATTTTTTGTTTTGAATCTATTCATTGGTTTTTTAAACTTCATTACTCCTCAAAAGTCCTGAGGCATGTGGAAATCCAGATAAAGTTGAGTCATTTTCCACCAAACTTTTATTAGAGATAGAGAACGCTGATTTCACATACGATTGTTATTATCTCAATTATGTCAGCACTTTCAATGCGATAGTCTATCATTTGAAAGGTTTATGTCTCACCTTTAGTGTACTGCGTGATCACTAAAATCACGATCACGATCACGCGTGATCGTGATCGTGATCGTGATCGTGCGTGATTAAAAATCTTTTTCGTGATCGTGATCGTGATCGTGATCAAAAATATCAATCACGCAGTACAGTAAGCTGAAGGTAATGTACTGCGCGACCACTAAATTCACGATCACGGTCACGCGTAATCGTGATCGTGCGTGATTGAAATTTTTTTTTTCGATCGTGATCGTGATCGTGCGTGATTAAAAATATTTTTCGTGATCGTGATCGTGATCAAAAATATCGATCACGCAGTACTACTCATCTTTGATCAATACTATTTTTATTAGAAAATTCTTTTCGATTGGTAGAATCTGATACTGTAAATGGATGTTAAAGGCATCTTAACTTCAGTTATTTTTAAATCGTTACTGCATAAATCGAATTTTGTTTGGCAGATTTTTTTCAAAAATTATTTTACAGTACTCACAAACGTGTATTATTATTTCCTAAAACTTTCTTGGTATCGCTGCACTGAAATGATCTCGTTAGTGCGAATGTTCGGAATGAAACGCCACAGTCCTATTCGCTGAAACACACCCAACTCAAATTAAAAGTCTTCTCGGAATCTCGTCCTTAAAACTTTTATTGCCAAATTCACCGGGTTGGTCAATAATTTGGACCAATGATAATCAAGATACGTGTATACCTCTGTCATTCTTCTTTTGAATGCTAAAAATCCCAGGTTTTTATCTTGTTTCAATCGAAAGTTATTCGAAAAGTATCCAAGTGCCTAGAAGTCTGGTACTGACAGTTATTGCAATTTTGACACATTCTTTACTTTATTAACAATGATAATCCTTAGCCAATTCTACTAGACATCAACGGTTCATAATGGATCAATCGAAAATTTATATAAATCTTGACTATTTTATAACTCATCTACGTCATGAACTCTTTCTACAAAGCAAAATTAGCTTTTCTTTTTTCAGGTAAAATGAATTCAAAAACTATAACATCATTTCACGAAGGTTAAATGGTTTTCTTTCTGATTGAAATACAACCTTGTTAAGATAGAATAATAATTGATAGATTTGTTCTAGGCCAGCAGTAGTTATGCGTTATATGCAAAAATAATTGTTGATCTATTCTACTTTTGTTGTAAATACACGTTAGTAAAATGCAGATTTATATCCCGTTCATTGGGATCATTTGATGAAATTGATATATTTTCTACTACAATGTCAAATCATAAAAAAGAAATAATTGGAATAAATCAACAAAAGTGCACTTGCTTCTCTACGCATTGAAAATCTAAAACTTTTTAATGGAATTTAATTCCGTCGTTTTTTATGTTTTACTTTTTCAATGAGAAGCATTGAAGAATACTAAACCTTTGTACTTTTTGTCAGATGAATAATTGTGTAATGTCGCAACGATGATTCAATTAATTTTTTCTTATATAAAATAAACGATTTGGTTACAAAGGCTATTAGTTGTTTTTATTACATCAATTCGTTTAAAATGAGCAAGATTCCTGTTAAAAAACCTGCTACAACCAAACATAATTCTTCACCAGCAAAGAAACTGACTAAAAATGATGTTAAACCAGCACACAATGTCGCTACAAAAAAGATGGCCGATGAGAAATTAGCAACAGCGAGTGATAAACCAGAAATTAAGATTGTTAAAATAGTCAAAATGAAGGAAGTAGTTCCAAAAGAAATGGAAAAATTACAAGATTTAACAAAATGGCCTATTATTATCGATGAAGTTGGTGAGTAAAGAAAATGATGAGAAAAACAATGTTGAGAATCGAGTTATTCCACTTTTAAATTCCCGGTGAACGACATAATACTAGCAGAGTAGAAAAAATAATGGTTTATTGCATAAGAGAGTTTATCCTCTTTATATACCTCTCCGTTTTCAAGTTAGAGCTTGAATCATAAAAAGATCTTTAACAGACTAAATTAATCCTAAAGAATTTGCAAATGTAACTCTTCCTGCCTAATTCAAAGATATAGAATTCATCAAAAAGTTGATACATTTTTTCTAATACTTATTTTCTCACGATGTATCATTTTTAACTTGATAGAATCAAAAAGGCTTTTTTCATGAGTTCAAAAGGATTGTTTCAATTAACATTAAAATCTAAGTTCTCTTTTTCTTGTTGTATTTAACATTAAATAATTTCATTTTACATACTAGAATCATTGATTAAATTTTTGAAAAATGATTCTTTGAGAAATTTGTTGAAAATCAGCCTGTTCTTAGAATGCTTCATTAATTGAAACTTCTCATATTAGTATATTTTTTTAAAATTAATTTTGTCTATATATACTACGCTTTTACCGATTTTTATCATTAGCACTGACTATTTTAAACATATTTTCAATAGTGTGAATATTTTCTTTTGTTCAGGTAACTTAAAGACTTTCTATCGTATGAATGAACTTGTGATTGATTTCAATACTCCTCTAACCATACAACGTGTTAAAATCGCTCTTCAATCTACCTTCTTTGGAGTTACATTCAATCCCGATGGATCAGTTAATGATCAACGAGATTATTCTATTCCGAATGAGGTCAATCGATTGATTTCTATTATCATGGAAGATAAACCTATTGGAGAATGTGTTGAAGAACTACGAAAAATTTGTAATCAGCTTCATCCAGATTTATTTGATGCTGTTTTCGCAAAAGCCAATGTAAAAGATTCCGGACGAGATGATCTCGATCGTCTTTTTGTCATGACTCAAACACCTGATGAAATACGTAAATCTGATTATTATCAATTTGGAGCTAAGAATCGAAGTGAAGTTCCATTTACTTGTGTATGGATTACTCATCTTACTGAAATACCACCAGCTTATGACAATCTGTTTGGACCAAGATTCAAATTGGAGTAAAATTAATATATTGTTTTTTTTCTATAAAAAACTCAATGATTCATCAACGACTTTAGAAGAGAAAACATTTGTTAATTGCCTCATAAATAAAAACCTTATTCGAAATAAAGAAGCTAAAATTCACGAATTAGTGTGACAGACGACTGAGTTAAAAAATGACTCATGCAAATTTAATATTAGTTAAATTTTGAGGATTCAAACTAAAGCGAACATTTTGTGAATGTAAGATTGACCGTGATGGTCATAGTAAAGACAATAAATCGTTATCTTCACACAGTGATGTTTTTGGCGTTAGTCAAGTTTCTCTTGTTTGTTTAACAATTAAAATAGAACGTATCTTGTATGGTAGAAAACTTTTGTTAAAGTGTTTGTATTCGCTATTAACACATGAAACTTGAACAGATCTAAATAAATCCACGTCAGTCTGTCGGACACCAAGTATACCCATGTGTACAGTAACAACCACGAAATATATTCAAATAGTTGAATTTTGAGAATCAATCTTCAAATGTTGGAAGTAACTTTTTTTCTATCGAATGCGAAATTCTCTATGGAACAGTGATTTATCTAGTGGGTGGATTGGGTGGGCGGCGCCCACCCAAAATTTTGATCTGTGCACTCGGGAAACGAAGCCTTGATAAAACACTGCTATTGAAGATTTTTTTTATGAAATTAGAACAAAAATCAAAACAAATCAATTGAACATTATATAAATCATTGAAATAATTGTCATCATTTAACAAACTAGTACCCTTGATAAAAAAAATACATAAATCATTGAGATACACATAGACAACGAATTCACCATTACTTCTGTCAATAGCAAACATTTGAACTCGATGATTGGTACAATCGGGCACATACAGATTTTCTACGCTTTCGGATGCCAAATCAGTTGAATGAGGTAATTGATATGTATTTTTTTTATCAAGGGTACTAGTTTGTTAAATGATGACAATTATTTCAATG